TAACTGCGCCGCCTCTAAATATGACACCTCCCCCCTTCCCCCCAGTGCGCAGGAAATAAATTCTCTTGAAAAAATTCTTTTGTTTTTTTTTAAAGTGTCAAAAACCCTTCCCTCAGTATGGGAGTGTAAAAAAAAAATCGAACTTGTACGAACTTTGGCTGCTATGGGGTCCGTAAGTTGGCACGTGACGTCATCATTCCCCATTCACCTGTGACGTATGCTCCCGGGGCGGGGCGCGCGAGGTGCCGCGAATATATTTTTGTTCATTTTTTGCACACAGTTCCAAATACATTTTATTTGTTTTTACATGCTAATCCTATGTATAATGAACACGTACACTATATTATGGCAGTAAAACATCCGTACTGCCCGAAGACACTGTTACGTGCATGACACTTGTGTACACATATGTTGCACATATTTACCATGTATCATGCTAATTTATGTATACTGTATATACAATCTATTTACAGACTATACACTGTCACACACTATATACATTCACCATTAACACATTCAGAACAGCGCGAGTGTGAGCTGTCACGCCCAGCCAGCCCTCCCTCACTCCTCCAACATTGTATTCACCAACATTGCTCTTCCCATCACACACACTAATGTTTCAAGTTCATTTATGTATATTTACAACATATGTACACACTATACACTATCACACACTATATACATTCACCATCAACACCTTCAAAACACCACAAGTGTGAGCAGCATACCCAGCCAGTCTCCTTCACTCCAACATCTTACTCGCCAACATTGCTCCTCCCACCATACTGTTATTGTTTTTATTACACTATTTACACATGTTATATATACCTATCTACATGTTTTATTTACCAGAACTATGCAAGTAAGCTGGTATTGTGTCCAAACAGTACAGTGGCCACCATACACTGCATGAAAAATCACACAGCAGACGACGCTACGACTACGACGTCACCTCCCTCACCAAAATAGCTCCTCTCAACATACTCCTGGTGCTGTTATTACACTATATACATACACTGTATACCCATGTACATGTGTGTTCCCCATAGCGAACCACGAAGCTAGTATGGTGAGCAAAACAAGAGTGGCTGCCACACAGTGAGGCTACCTCAATTCTCTCCCTTCCTCCCTCCCTCCCTCCCTCCCTCACCAAAATTCCTCCTTCCACAATACTACGCACAATGCTAATTATAACCACAATCCTGGTCACTAATTCCTGTAAATGAATAATTGACCACAAGTTTATTTTGAAAAGGAACCTAAAAAGTCGTTTGAAGATTCCTAGATGGACGAAATAATGCTGTGGTGCTGTGGCTAGCGCTGTGAACATCGTGAACAGCATTGAATCACTGATATTTGAACATTGTACGCAGTCATTATCACTCAGGCTCTTCTATAATACTATCATGGCTAAATAAAACAGATTATATATATATTTTGACAATATTAGGCGATGCTGTGGTCACACGCTGAACAGCAGTGCTGTGCGCTCATGCTGCGAGCGCCAGCCTTGGTTGCTCACTCACTACTGAGGCTCTGACACTTGGCAATGTGGACCATGATTTTTTTTAAAGATGGCATCTGTTTACAAGAGCCCTTAGGAAGCTGATGTGAACCCCATGTAGCCGCGGGAGATTTGAATGGAACGTGAAAAATAAAAACACCCGGAGGCGCATTGCGCAGCCAAAGCTTGGGCCTGCAGGCGCGTTGCGCAGTTAAAGGGTTAAAGACTGACATTTACCAAACATTGTGCATGAAGTGAAATTATAGAGCCTTAACAAAATGAGTGACTAACTCCTGGGTTGCACCCTTGTTTATATGATGAAACACCCTGGTGTACGCACGCACGCACATACTTTAGGGAGGATAAGAAACTTAGATGATTGTAATGCTCTTCAAGAAGACGTGGACAAAATAAGTATATGTTCCCAGTCGCGCGGGCTGACCTGCTTCTGTTTACTTTAGCCGCTCGCTTAGTGACAATCATGCTTATAAGAAATTCCATTTTTGTTGTGATTTTTTTTGCTTTTTGAACATAAAACTGATTATTATATATAACGCCATGGGTCTCAAGAAAGTCAGTGGTAAGGTTCAATACATGAAAACCTCTGCAAGGATGACCATAGAGCAAAAACAAGAGATCATTCGTAAATATGAAGATGGTGTGAGGGTTGCTGAATAGTTAGGCAGTACAACAAATCTCAGTCAACGATATCCACCATACTTGCTAAGAAAAAGGACACGAGTGCTAAAGTGGCAAAAGGCGTAACAATACTCATGAAACAATCATGAAACAACACAAACACTTGAGGATGTTGAACAGTTATTGTTAATTTGGATACACAGCAAAGAGTTAGCTGGTGATAGCGTTTCAGAGACCATTTGTGAAAAAGCAAGGAAATTGCTTGAAGACCTTTTAAAGAAAACCCCTGGAATGAGTGATGCAGATGAGAAAGAGTTTAAGGCGAGCAGGGGATGGATAGAGAAATTTAGAAAAATAAGTGGAATTCATAGTGTTGTGAGTGTTGTGTGTTGCGAGCTGGTGGAGGAACACACCGAAGAACTTCACAAGGAGCAGCAACACGAGACAGCTGAGGAAATTTCTTCAGGGGAGAAGGAGACGGTACAGAATGTCCCTTCCTCATTAATTAAGAAAATATGTACAGCATGGGAAGAATTGCAACTTTAGCTGAAACGACTCGCCCAAATCATGGTGCAGTAGGCCATTGCCTTAACCTGTTTAATGACACTGTGATGCCTCACTACAGACAAAAATTGAAACGTATGGAAAAACAAAAATCTATGAGAAGGTTTTTAGTGAGATAAACAAGCAATGAATCACAACCAGGACCTAGTGGTATGCAGGCAAAACTCCTCCCCCCACCTCACCATCTTCCATATGCCATCAAGAGTCCTCCATAAAGCTAAGATAAACATATGTACTGTATTGTAGTTAGAGAAAAAAATGTATTCAGTATAATATGTATTTTTTAAGTTAATATTTTTGGTGATGTGAAATGGATTAATTCAAGTCCCATTATTTCTTATGGGAAAATTCGTTTCGACATACGATATATCGACTTACAATACGTCCCTGGGAACGGACTACCACCGTAAATCGAAGCCCCACTGTATCTGGTTAAGTTACGTTAGGATATTTTTTATTATTTTTTGCCAGAGCGACATAATGGAGAACTAGACTGCCTTCTTTTCAGTTAATGCAAGAATCCATAAAAAAGGAATCTAGATAGCTGAATCACACTGTATATTTCTTTCCTTTTCTTTTCCTCCAAGCCGATTCCTCATAACCCCATTAAAATGGGAAATGGGCTAATGTACTTCATAACACTTGTGATGGATGGTTGGAATAAGCTCGGGGAGGTTGTGTATGCTAAAACCACTTTGTTTAAAGCAATTATGATAAAATATGACAGGGGTCATGAGCACGGATCTCAAATTGTAATAATAAATAGGTCTCATAGACAAAACCTGTACTCTATATACATACAGTAAATATGTATTAGTGACATCTCACTAACATAACAATTGGTTCTGGAGCCCTCCGATGCAACAAGACATTTGCTTTATACACGTTATAATATATTTAATCTGGTTTTATTAGCAAAAATGAAAGAACACAAATTTATGGAAATTCTATAGCAATCAGAAAAACTATTTTTAATATATATTTTTATTATTTCACATTTACTGTTACTACAACTTCCAATTTACTAAGCTGTCCTCATTAAATGAACAACTGATGTAAAACCAGATCATATTCCTTCTATGCATCTTAATTTCTGCTGAACCGAGTTCTGTTCAAACGAGACCAATACATAAATATATATACTGTATATAGCATATATTCACTACACAGTACATACAAACACTATGTTTATTTTTACTTTTATTTCCAAAATACAGCATTGAATGTAATGAAATGCCATTTTCTGGGCGAGACCCAGAGGCTCCCCAGAGCTATACCAGGCTCATGTGTATAAATTAGACTGTGGCAACAGTCAATCAATGGAGTTCTAGGCCTACCAGAGACCAGCACCAGAACCTGGCCCTCCTCAGAGCAGCAAGAGGAGCAATGACCTATAGACACCCCCGTGTAATTGGAAACAGTCTATGTCTGCCATCTACCAGGTCAGGCACACAGAAAGGTAGGAATCACAAAACAAACTACAGCTGGCTAAAAATTGCAAACCAAAAGCTAAACTAGCAAGCAGAACTCCCCAAACAAAAACAAGCAAGCAAGCATGACATCACCACAGCCGCTACGCCGCTGTGGTGCACCGAAGGGGCTCTCCACAGAAAGTCCAACAGCGTTCATGATTCTCAAAAGCACTTGATACACCAGGCTTCATTGCTTATGTCTGGAAAAAAAACACAACTCACCAAAACCTTGCTGCATTTTCATCTTCAGACCTTTAACAATTTGAATACTTTTATATACTGTACAGTGTACAGTAATTCTTAAATTTGTACTTACTAAATAGAAACTATGGTTGATGATTTCTCTAGGGATATCAGGCAGTATAGTAATATGATGGCAGTCCACAGAAAACTCTCTCATTAAGTTCTATCCAGTTCTAATAGAGTCAAGGTTATTTATGAATATATGGCTTGGTAACCTATACTAGTAAAGAATAATGCACTAGAATGCCAAACTATATGGTATGAGAATTTTCTAGCACTGCTAAATACTGTACACTATGACAACTACTGCAGTAAACTAATCCAAATCAAAACTAATTCACATTCATGTACAGTATCAGAATGTAAGAAATTCTGATGCTAAGAATAATCAAGATACTGGACAAGTTGGCCAACAATCTAGTCAAAGTACATGGAAATAACAACATTTCCATTTATCCCACAGGCAAAAGTCAAGCTCAGACTAATGAGTATAAAGTAAAAAGCTGTGAAAATGTTAAATCCCATAAAATCTGATGATTAATCAAGAGAAAAATGTTTAATGTTAAAAGCACACTTACTCCTTTGACAACCGCCTGCATGAATGCTTCCTTCCCAAGCTTTTGTCGTTGCTTATTCATTGCCTGTTCCATTTTTCTCTTTTCCGACTCAATTCTACGACGTTTTTCTTCTAGTTTTAGTCTGACATTATGGAGCTCTGAGGCCATGACTTGTGGTTCCATGTTTTCATCTGCAATATAAATAAAAAGTAAGGAAATACAACCCAAGACAATAATGGTTAAATAAAAATGTGTACCTCGTCAGACATACAGCACAAAGCTATACTGTATAAATTAATTAAAAATTTTGTATAAAAAACTATAGAATATTAACATGGAAGTAAATATAGTGTGACCTCAGTTATCAGGACAAAATAATATTTCCAAATGTATGTTCAACTGAAAATCTGAGTAAGTGAAAAAAAAAATACTAGATAGTTTTCCAGCAATTGCTGTTACTGTATTTTGATATTTGTTTAGACAGATATGCACTAAAAATACATGTGGGTTTATATTGGTGTATACTGGCAGCAGGTTTTCTTTTAAACTTAGTCTGGAATATAATTATACTATACACTTTGTATAAGTGTAATACATTCTATAGTAATTCACTTTTTTCTTCACCTTAAAATAACAAAAATGAGTTTTGGAGAACTCCTCTTTCAGCTAAGCCCTGATGCTAGGAAAATACTTAGAGGGATAGAAGCCCTATACCAGAAGATAGTAAATACTGAATATGCAGTCATATTCAATGAGACATGTTTAAAAATACATGTAGTATTAATTTATTAGGAATGCACTAAAGTATATATATCTATGAAACCCATTAAAACCATGTTGTATGGATATACATCGGGTATAGGCACATAGGCACAATCAGAACACTGCATAAACATCAGAGGTCCACGGTTGTTCAACGTCCTCCCAGCAAGCATAAGAAATATTGCCAGAACAACCATGGGACATGTTCAAGAAAAAACTAGATAGATTTCTTCAAGGAGTGCTGGACCAACTGGGCTGTGGTGGGGTATGTGGGCCTGCAGGCCACTCCAAGCAACAGCCTGGTGGACCAGACTCTCGTAAGTCAAGCCTGGCCTCAGGCTGGGCTTAGGGTGTAGAAGAACCCCCAGAACCCCAACAAGCAGGTATCATGCAGGGGTGGGAAACCCGTGGCCTTTTATGGTACTCTGTGTAGCCTTCAAAAGCAACTTTAATTAATGAAACTATCTGCATGCTTGTTTGATATTCGAATGTATACAGCACATAATACAATGTGTAACCTTAACAAATCTTTGCTAAGCAAAAATATGGTTTTCATGTGATGAGTTCCCCACCCCTGGTATATATAATTGTTCTCACTTACTGAATTGCAACCAAAAAGGTTATTAAATTTAACGAATGAAAATGCTAAAACAAAATTAAACAAGAAACCATACAATTAAATAGGCCAGGTTCAAAGAATATGTACAATTACAAAATTGAATAATTTGCTTACAACAGAACATAAAAAAAGTTGAAGGCATTTTTCCATTTTTCATTTGCCTGACCTTTCATATAATAAGATCAAAATTAGCCAATCATCCACAACTGTACGTGAATGGTCCTGTTGAGTTATAATGTGTTACTATTGTATTAAATGACTGCAAGTATCAGATACAAAATTTAACAGATTGAGAGGTCATAACAAATTCTGGATGTATTTTTTACACACATACTTCTGTATTATATTTGAAAACAGTGACTAATATCCAAGAATTGGCAATCTGTCAAGCTTACAAATCACAATGGATGCACTATAATCTACTGGGAATATGACAAAGCGGTTGATTTGGGTGTACTGATGTCGGAAGACCTTACATTTAAAGAACACAATAAAGTAGCCGTCACAACTGCAAGAAAAATGACAGGTTGAATAACAAGAACCTTTCACACTAGAGATGCTATACCGATGATGATACTTTTCAAGACGCTAGTGCTCTCAGGAGTGGAATACTGCTGCACAATGACAGCCCCTTTCAAAGCTGGAGAAATTGCTGACCTGGAGAGCGTGCAGAGATCCTTTACTGCTAGAATCCACTCAGTAAAACCAGTAAAACATCTAAACTACTGGGACCGACTAAAGAACCTAAATTTGTATTTTCTTGAGCGCAGGCGGGAGAGATACATAATAATTTACACATGGAAAATAGTAGAGGGGCTGTTCCAAACCTCCACACAGAAATAACATCACATGAGACCAGAAGGCATGGCAGGATGTGCAGAATACCCCCCGTTGAAGAGCAGAGGTGCAACAGGTACCCAGAGAGAGAGAGAGAATTCTATCAACATCAGAGGCCCATGACTGTTCAACACGCTTCCGCTACACATAAGGGGCCTAACTGGTTAACCCCTCACAGTGTTCAAGAGAGAACTTGACAAACACCTCCAAAGGATACCTGATCAACCAGGCTGTGACTCATACGCCAGGCTGCGAGCAGCCGCGTCCAACAGCCTGGTTGACCAGTCCAGCAACGAAGAGTCCTGGTCGACAACCGGGCCGCAGGGTCGCTGAGCCCCGAAATCACCTCAAGGTAACCTTAAGGTAGGTGGTCACATACCCGTGAAGCACGCACATATTTCACATGTCACAGGACAAATTTCCTACATATTCCATCAGAGGCTCCACAATGCTTGGCCCACACAAGTGAGACTGTGGCACATGCATGGGAAGACCAATCATTATTTTCCTTCTGGCACACCCATTTAAAACATGTGGACCATAAATGTCCTATGGTGGCTAATAATGATGCACAAATGGTGGCGAACAAGCAGAAAATACCCAATTAAATATAATAGGCAGAAACTAGAAAATGCTAGAAAAATGGATTACCATTACCAAGTACAGTAGTAAGAAAAACTGATTACCATGTACAGTGCCAGTTTAAAACCTGCACTCATTACAACACTGTACTCTGGTGGAAGGACAACATTCCGAGATTTACAGGATTAAGCGTAAACTATGCAAATTGTGTGTTGTAACAAACTGACAAGTGCCTGAGTATGCAAACAAATTGATAAAACCTAAAAGTGTGGTATAACCACAATGTTTGGGAAAGGTACAAAAACAGTATTCCAATTTTAAGCTGGATGCTCACAGAGAAGAAGTATCTAATTCCTCTACCAACTACATAGTGCACCAAAATGTTTAGAGAAATTTGAAGAAAAATTACCCGAATATTATTTTTTCTGCAAACAGTAATGTACTATACTGTAATGAGCACATTCATTCCGGCCAGGACTCAAAAATTAATAATCATACACTAGAGTCAAATTTGAAGCAACCATCACACCTGTTTGTATAACAGCACCTACAGCAAATTCAGCTGTATATACAGTACTATACATAATATATGCCAAATTCCCTTTTTCAATACAGTACGTGTATTATAAACAATAACAATGATTTCTTAAAACTGCACTTGCAACTCCAACCCTATACACAAATCCAACATCACTGCATTGTTTTATAAATCTTGATTAACAATTATAATGAAGCTGCAAGAAACTTCATAATTAAAGAATATTTTAGAGATGACAAAGATTTAAAGATTTTACCGAAGACATAAATTGTGGATTATGAGAAGCAAGATTTAATTTAGATGTATCGATGAGCACTAACTTTGTAAAATCCCTCCTACACCAATGCTGCTTTTGGTCACTACTGCAGGAAGAATGAAATGGTTGGGTTTGATCAGAGTAAAGAAGTGATGCAATGGAATGGGAATGTGAAACTGACTTGATATCGTTACTTACAGAGTAATGATATTAAATTACGATAAAATGCATTTGTTTCATTAAAGTAATTATCAAGAGAAGGTACCAAGCTGGAAGTCTGTGGGGACACCATCTGTGTTGCTGGATATTTAAAAAGGTGCTTGGGATGCCAATGCAAGAACTAAAGGACATAAGGCTACTGATTTGGTAACGATATCAAAAGTATTGGATTTGCCAAGGATCTTATTTATGAACAAATGATCCCGAGGGTCATAAGTAATACATATGGTCATCATAAAGAGGATACAATCAAGACGGTGTATGACTAAGTGGAACAATGCAGTTTGGACAATAAGGAAAAGGGCAGTATTCCATTAAATACTCATGAGTTAAGAGAGTGTGGCCGATACATAATCTCAAAAGAGACTTTTCCCACTGACTACTATGATAGTAGGAGGAAAGCCTAGGGAAGAGGTGACCTTTAAAAGTGCAAAGTTTGTTATGGCTAATGTGAGACCAATGACCCTGCCAACGGTCGCAGAGCGAGGCGTGAATAACTGGGTAGAAATCTGAATAAGGAATTTCCTTTTCGGGAAATAGGACAAGTGTAAATGGCCTCCTTAGTGGCAGAATCTACACACATATTTAGTGCAGCACCAATATGGCAGGGAACCCAGCAAAATTCAACTGTCTTAAACCTTCTGGAGATAAGAAACAGCCAATATTGGATTTTAACCAGCAGAGGATGCAAATGGCTTAAATGACTCCAGAACCAAAAGGGCACTGTAAGAATCGACCACAATGATAAAAGGAACACTGGCATTGGAAAAGCAGTTGGTGAAAGCATACAGAATTGCATAAAGTTCTGCGCTGAAGAAATTAGTCTCTGGGAGCAGGTGGCACAGGAGAGTTTGGTCTGGAAAAACAATAGAGTAGCCAACATTGTTGGCAAATTTAAGACCCATATATCATTAGTGCAATGGAGGGTGAGTGCAAAAAAAAAGTGTTCAGGGAAAATGCATTTCAATGCACAGTATAAGCGAGAGTGAGGATGTTGAAGAGACAGAGGTAATGAAGGCAGTAATGATCATGACGATCCTGTAGAGACAGTTATCTTGAGATGATTTCGAGGCTTAGTGTCCCTGCGGCCCGGTCCTCGACCAGGCTTCCTTTTTGTTACATACCCCCAGGAGGCAGCCCGTAGCAGCTGTACAACTCCCAGGTACCTATTTACTACTAGGTAACAGGGCCATCAGGGTGAAAGAAACTTTTTGCCCATTTGTCTCCGCCTCCACCAGGGGTCGAACTCGGAACCTCAGGACTACGAATCCAAAGCGCTGTCCATTTAGCTGTCAGGCACCCAGAACACCAGTTTAAACATACAAGCTCTGGGTATTGGATGAACAAAAGAAATCAGAGCTGAGGGGTAACCAAGTAT